TGTCATAGAAATATATGTACTGTCAGTAATTAAAGTTGTAATTAATTGTATCACATACATACTCTGTCATAGAGATATGTACTGTCAGTATTAAAGTTGTGATTAAATTGTGTCACATACATACTCTGTCATAGAAATATATGTACTGTCAGTATTAAAGTTGTGATTAAATTATGTCACATACATACTCTGTCATAGAGATATGTACTGTCATTATTAAAGTTGTAATTAAATTGTGTCACATACATACTCTGTCATAGAAATATATGTACTGTCAGTATTAAAGTTGTAATTAAATTGTGTCACATACATACTCTGTCATAGAGATATCTACTGTCAGTATTAAAGTTGTGATTAAATTGTGTCACATACATACTCTGTCATAGAAATATATGTACTGTCAGTATTAAAGTTGTGATTAAATTATGTCACATACATACTCTGTCATAGAGATATGTACTGTCAGTATTAAAGCTGTGATTAAATTGTGTCACATACATACTCTGTCATAGAGATACGTACTGTCAGTATTAAAGTTGTGATTAAATTGTGTCACATACATACTCTGTCATAGAGATATGTACTGTTAGTATTAAAGTTGTGATTAAATTGTGTCACATACTAACTCTGTCAGAGATACGTACTGTCAGTATTAAAGTTGTGACTAAATTGTGTCACATACTAACTCTGTCAGAAATACGTACTGTCAATATTAAAGTTGTAATTAAATTGTGTCACATACTAACTCTGTCAGAGATACGTACTGTCAGTATTAAAGTTGTGATTAAATTGTGTCACATACATACTCTGTCAGAGAGATACGTACTGTCAGTATTAAAGTTGTGATTAAATTGTGTCACATACATACTCTGTCATAGAAATATATGTACTGTTAGTATTAAAGTTGTGATTAAATTGTGTCACATACATACTCTGTCATAGAAATATATGTACTGTTAGTATGACTAGAGTCGTTCACATACTGTGTCATATATACATAAACTGTCAAGATTAATATATTCATGACAAAGTCTTCAAACAGCACAGCCATCATTGCTAGGAAACAAGGAAAGTGCGTCACTAAGACTGAAATATTGCAATCATTGCTAAGAAACAAGAAAAGTGCGTCACTAAGACTGTAATCTTGCGATCATTGCTAGGAAACAATGAAAGTGCGTCATTGAGACCGGAAGCTTGCGATCATTGCCTAGGAAACAAGGAAAGTGC